GGAGCCAGGACTCCTGGGTTCTCTCCCCAGCGTCTGGGAGGGGAGTGGGGGCTGGTGGGTTAGAGCAGGGGGGGCTGGGAGCCAGGACTCCTGGGTTCTCTCCCCAGCGTCTGGGAGGGGAGTGGGGGCTGGTGGGTTAGAGCAGGGGGGGCTGGGAGCCAGGACTCCTGGGTTCTCTCGCGGCTCTGGGAGGGGAGGGTGGTGGTGCAAGCAGGGGCTGGAGCCGGATGCCTGGGTTCTCCCCAGGGAAGAACTCGGCGAGCAAGGTGGACAAACTCTGGAGTCACCCCCAGTACAACATCGGGAAGCTTCGGGGCGCCGGGATCCCCGAGTTCTACGACTACGACGTGGCTCTGCTGAAACTCAAGGACAAGATCAAGTTCTCCTTCAATGCCCGGTGAGTGGGGGTCCAGTGGTCCCTCCCCCGCCGGCCCCCCAGCCCCCCCACTGACCCTCTGCTGCCCCCCACAGGCCCATCTGCCTGCCCTGCACTGAGGGGACCACCCGCGCCCTGCGCAAGCCCCACCCGGAGACCACCTGCAACGACCACAGTAAGAGCCCCTGCCCCCTACTCCCGACCCACAGCCCCCCCAGGTCCACTAGTGCCCCTCACTCCCGACCTGCAGCCTCCTGCCCCCCCAGCTCCGCCGGTGCCTCCCGCTCCCGACCCACAGCCCCCCCCCAGGTCCACTAGTGCCCCTCACTCCCGACCCGCAGCCCCCTGCCCCCCCAGCTCCGCCGGTGCCTCCCGCTCCTGACCCACCCCCCCCTGCCCAGTGCCCCCCACTCCCAACCCACGGCCCCCTGCCCCCCCAGCTCCGCCGGTACACCCCACCCACAGCCCCCCAGCTCTGGCAGTGCCCCCCGCTCCCACCCCACGGCCCCCCTGCTCCCCCAGCTCCGCCGGTGTGCCCCACTCCTGACCCACAGCCCCCCTGCCCCCCAAGTGCCCCTCACTCCCTACCCGCAACCCCCTGCCCCCACCAGCTCTGCCGGTGCCCCTCACTCCCGCCCCACAGGCCCCCGCTCCGCCGGTGCCCCTCACTCCCACCCCACAGCCCTGAGTCTCTGGCTCCCCAGAGCGGCTGCTGCTGACGGTGGGCGAGGTCCCGGCCCTCTTCGTGCACGAGCAGAAGCAGAAGCTGGAGCGGAAACTCGTGAACATCAAGAACGGGGTCAAGGTGAGGGACCCCGGCGTCCGGGGTGGGTGGGAGCCGGCGCCCCCTAGAGGGGACATTCCCTGCCCCCCTGAGCCAGGCAGGCGGGGGGAGCCGTAGGGCCGGCTCAGTGGGGTTCCCTGGGCTGGGCTGTGCCTGAGGGGGTGGTTCTGCCGGGGGCGACCCTGGGGGTGGTCTGGGGGCAGTGGGAGCCCCTGGGGGAGGTCGGGGGGGGGGCCCCTGCGATGCTAAGCCTCCCTCTGCCCCCAGAAATCAGCCTGCGAAGCCGACGCGAAGAAGGCCCCGATTTACGTTAACGTGACAGACGTGAGGCAGGTGGTGACACCCCGATTCCTCTGTACCGGGGGGATCGACCCCGTCGTGGACCCCAACACCTGCAAGGGTGAGCGCTGCCCCCCCAGGCCCCTGAATCTCCCCCAGCCCCCCCCGCCAGGATCCCCCTGGGGCCCCCAGATCCTCACACCCCCCCAGGTTCCCACAGCCCTTGGCCCCTGAATCTCCCCCAGCCGCCCCCCGGATCCTCACAGTCCCCCGGGAAGGATCCGCCCAGGCTCAACTGTTACCCCCCAGCCAGCAGCAGGGATCCCCCCCTTCCCCCACGACCTCCCTGCTCCCCACTGGAACTGCCCCCCCCAGCTCCCTCTAACCTTCTTCTTCCTCCCCCAGGCGACTCCGGGGGCCCCCTCATCATCCCCAAGGGCAAACGCTACATCCAGGTGAGTGCTGCCCACCCCGTACCGTACCTGCCCTGGGGCCGGAGGGGAGCCGGCGCCCCCTAGAGGGGACAGGCCCCCCCTTCTCCGTCCTTGCCTTCTGCCAGTGGGGGGCTGGTCCCTGTGTTCTGGCCGCCCCTGACCCCCCTTTCTCCCCCAGGTGGGTGTGATCAGCTGGGGCGTGTTCGACGTCTGCAAGCCGCCCAAGCGCAAGGCCCCGGCCCACGCCCGCGACTTCCACCTCAACCTCTTCACCGTGTTGCCCTGGCTGCGGGAGAAGCTGGCCGAGGAGGAGCTGGGCTTCATCTGAGGGGACCCCAACCTGCCCCAAGGCCCCCCCGCACTGGAGTCCCCCCCACCGCCCTGTAAATAAAGGTTCGCTTCACCACCCTGCTGCATGGTGCGGCTGTGAGGCTCGTGAAAACAGAGAACTCGTCTCATGACTGGGGGGCAAGGCCAGCAGGGGGCTCTCCCCGGGCAGTCAGGGCTCCCCATGGCGGCGCTAGGGGCTGGGCTGCAGGGAGTGGGGGGCAGCAGGGGGCTCTGCCCGGGCAGTCAGGGCTCCCCATGGCCCCAGGGCG